AAAAATGACAGATTTAGGCCAGGCACAGTGCTCATACCTGTTTAATCCAGCATTTTGGGAGCTGAGGTAGGGTGGATACCCCGGAGGTCAGGAGTTGAAACCAGCCTGAGCACATGGCGAAACCCTGTCTCTATTAAAATTACAAAATTGGCTGGGTGTGGTTGGGCACTTATCTGTAATCCAGCTACTCAGGAGGCTGGGCGAGAGAATCGCTTGGACCAGGAGGCAGAGGTGCAGTGAGCCCAATATTGCGCCACTGCACTTCAGCCCTGGTAACAGAGCAGACCCCGTCTCAAATTTAAAAATAAATATAAATAATAAATAAACTTTAAATTATTTTCTTTTGACATGGGGAAAAATATCTAATTATCTCAGATTTTTTTAAGGCTTCATCATCCTCATATAAAACACTCATAAAAAATGTTTTACAGGAGGCACAAGGGCCCCTTGTTCTTTTCATGGTGCATTGTTTCAAGAAGGGACTACCACTTTGAGGGTTTTTTTTTTTTAATTATTATTATTATTTATACTTTAAGTTCTAGGGTACATGTGCATAACGTGCAGGTTTGTTACATATGTATACTTGTGCCATGTTGGTGTGCTGCACCCATCAACTCGTCAACTTTGAGGGTTTCAAACAAATGCTGTAAAAGGTGCATGCCTGTCCCAAATCTAATATCTGGATGCAAACCCTCTTTGAACTAAACTCAACTCCTTTCTTAGAGATATGTGAACCAAAATATCTATTTTATTCACTTTTGCCAAATTTAATGACTCACGTATAGGGTGTTAGGGTGTTTCTTTGGGGATTTTGTTTCTTGTGTTTTGTTTTGTTTTGTTTGAGACAGGGTCTCCCTCTGTTGCCCAGGCTGGAGCACAGTGGCACGATCTTGGCTCACTGCAGCCTCAACTTCCCCAGGGTCAAGTGATTCTCCCACCTCAGCCTCCTGAATAGCTGGGACTACAGACACACACCACCATGTCTGGCTAATTTTTGGTATTTTTTGGTAGAGATGGAGTTTCACCATGTTGCCCAGGCTGGTCTCAAAATCCTGGGCTCAAGTGATCCACCTGCCTCGGCCTCCTAAAGTGCTGGGATTACAGGCAAGACCCAAGACCCACGTTGCCCAGCTGGGTGTTTCATAATATAAGGAAAGGTAAGACAAATCTGGATACTTAAGCCCTAGAACCAAATCACCTCCAAGACCAAATTACATAACTATATAATATATAATAATCTTATATACAGTAAGATTTATATATGTAACTGTATTATAATC